AAGAATAGTATAGTATAGTATAGTATAGTATAGTATAGTACAGTATAGTATAGTATAGTATAGTATAGTATAGTATAGTATAGTATAGTATAGTATAGTATAGTATAGTTTTCGTTTCCTATTGTATTGTATTGTATTGTATTGTATTGTATATTATAGTATAGTATAGTATAGTTGAGTATAGTAGAGGAGAGGAGACTTGAATACTTTTTCGTTTCAGATGAGATTCAGGCGATTTTAACGCTGAAATAGATCTTGAATGAGAAGCCTCTTTTAAGATGCTTTTTAAAATGAAATTCATAAAAAATTTAGGTGTTATCTTTGTCCCAATGTTATTAGGCCGGATAATGCTTTTATGGTAACCATCCGAACTTTTTACAACTCATTAAATCTCATGATAGCTAAGAGACAAAACATTTTAATATGCAGAATAGTATTATGAAGCTGTAGCATGGCTTGAAAAAAACGCTCATGGCCTCATAAATGCAGTTGGATATTTCAAATTAATGATGCACGTAAAAACATACCTGCCTGCCTGCAGCCAATAGACCGACTGCTCGATCAAACTGGTTGTTTTTGAGAAAAAAGTCTGCACATTGTCGCAGAAGAGCTGGATCTAGACGCTCAGTTACTCTACCTTTTTCAGCTCTTACTTCATAACCACTGCAACCAACGGCGAATCCGACACCATTATCTCTGCCACTGTCATTGCTGCCGTCCTCATGAAGTCCCTCAGTCTCCATTTCGTGCTCAGCCTCTTCAGCCTGCTGCATAAGACTGGCTGTGACTGTCTGTAGGGCAGAGAATTGGCATTCACGAAAGGCCAATTGTATGGCCTGCGATATCAGGCCGGCCTTATGGTACAACAAGACGGCTTTTCCAGCATACCCAGGTACTCGTTCCAAATGGCTAGCTGCATCGATCATGTCCACAGTGCGACCAAGTTGGGCAAGACTGAATAGATGATCGTGGCGTTCATGCTCCTGAGTGGTGCAATTTTAAAATGCTTCCGCTTTAGCAAGTAAGGAGTTGTAAAAATTACAAAATCCATTTTTAACCTACTCTATTACAGATGCCAGTAATAATATTTTTAACATCAGCATTATGGCGAAAGACATGGATCCTAGTGGTATTTTTCGAGGGCCAACACCAATGCTTGGTGACAGCAGGTACATAATATGCGCTATCATCGCTGATTGTCATCGTTGAGGAAAATTGAGGCAAATACCAAGAGACCTTTGGAGGCATGTAAGGTGAGCACTGTAGATGTTACCGTAAATGCCTTACTATTATTTCCACACGAAAGTAAATTTGATTAAGATCTTGTTCAAAATTAAACCTAATTGTCTGAAAAACTAAATACTCTTTTCTAGAATATTTATTATTGATAGGAAAATATTTTGCTCTCTTAGGTATGCAAATGGAAGAAGTGAACTACTTTAGCAGAAGGAATTCGAATTAAAATAAAACTAATGCTCATAATGTAGATAGGGAATTAACATAATTAAGAAAATTAAAAGGGGAGGAAAAGCACTTTCACACAAACTAGATTTGAAGATGATAAAACAGAAAAAAACCTATAGGTCATGATTCAACAATTGTGATAATCTCCGAAGTCAAGGGGATTTGGGAGAAAGTATCTCCCCAAGTGACTGTGACCATTGCTTAACTGACCCCCAGAACTTTCCCGCATCAGCCATGTTCAGCGGGCAAGTCTAATTTTTGGATACAACTTTTAATTCCAATTATAGCGGCAGAGTATTGATTTGCTCGAGTGTCCCATTAGATCAAAAAAGACAAAAGGAACTTATTATGACCAAAAGAATATGCGTAAATATGATAAGTAAGAAGTTTTTCGGATTTCTAAAATATGATTTATAGCAACATTGCTTCGCCTTGCCTTGCACAGACGGACGGCACTTGTGTACGCCTTAGCTCTAGTGTAGAGATGGATGGCCTGGTCTATATCATTATCAGCCTCAGACTGTCTCGCTAGGTGGTAACAGGCTGCGGCATCCCCAGTTTCTGTGCAGATGGTGGAAGCCGTCTTCCGGTCACCAAGGCAACAGTGAACACGAACCAGTGAAAGATAGTCTTTGGCACGCAGGTAGAATACCTTGGCTTCAGCCAAATCACCAGCCGCCTCTAAGTATTGCGCCCACCACCGATGTACTCGACTACCGATATAAAGGCAAGCATAAGCAACGATTAAACAAATAAATATGTATATGTGATTGACAAAAGGGTAAGCAAAATTGTCGAGGCAATCAGAGATAACAAACGCAGTTGGCCTTCAGACTGATAATATCGAGACAGAAAGCAAGCTAGACTTGAATTTATTGCAGACCAAAAACAAAATTGCTTCCGGGGCCAAATTTACCAATAATTCTGTTTCACGAGTGCCCTTAACCAAACTCCCCTTACATACGAAAAATAAGATAAAATACTCAATCTAGTTAGGCATATAGCAGAACAAACTTTATTTCAAATACCAGTAAAACCAAAAAAAATCAAACATTAATATGAGATGTATTCACCCTATTTCGTTTAAGGTGATAAAGGACTGGTAGTAGAATGTTCCCACAATAATATGAGTAGAGCTGAAGTTTCCATTGAATTTCACATAGCCTTGCTTTCCCAGAAGTTGTTCTCATCCAGGGTCGGGTGGACTGCAGTTTCGACCTCAAATCGGTCTTTTGGGAAAGCAAGGCTGTGTGAAATTCAATAGAAACGTCAGCTCTACTCATATCATTGTGGGAAAATTATTCTACCAGTCCTTCATCACCTTAACGAAATTGAGTGAATATATTTCATATTACTGATTTACTGGTAGTCTCGAAACAAAACTTAACTGCGAAAAATATTATGAATGAGTCGGCAAGTCTCCTCGAAATAGACTGAAGTTTCGTCCTCGAATCGGTCTTAGCAACACCACTAGTGGGAGTCGAAATGTGACAGTGCAGAATGGGAGCTTGATACGCTAACCCCTCGACTACATTGCCACGAGTGACCTCGAGTCACAGGGCAGATGTGAATTTCAAGGAAGGCCAGGCCTTTTACCATATCATATTCTTTAGTGGGATTATCGATGAAGCAGACATATTTGCCATAACAATCGACTAAGTTAATTATTTTTCGTATTTGAGTAGAGTTACTTGTAGTCTCCAAATTCTACTCAAATAAGAAAAAAAAATCAAACAATTATATCACAAGACATTGCTATTTATTCTACCGTCTCCTTAAATAGTAGAAAATTATATTGTATTAATTGTTGACCATATCTAAACATTGGAATTATCTCGAATGTTGCTGTATTTTGGTTGGATCCAATAGGTTCTAACTACATTAAAAGAATGTTATCACATTTTGATAAA